CTTTCAATATTCACTCCTTCCAGCACCGACGCTCAGTAGCAGCAGTGTGCACTATCTACAAGATGCACTGCAGATATTCATCAAAGATCCTCAGACAGCACCTTCCAAACCCACGACCACTTCCATCTAGAAGGGCAAGGGCAGCAGATACATGGGAACACCACCCTCCTGCAAGTTCCCCTCCGAGCCACTCACCATCCTGACCTGGAAATATATCATGATTCCTTCAGTATAGCCGGGTCAAAATCCTGAAATTCTCTCACCAAAGGCATTGTAAGTCTACCTACAGCACATGGACTGCAGGGGTTTAAGAAGCCTTAAACTGGAGTCAGAGGGCATGGAGGGGTCATGTCCGAGACAGCTGGCAATGACCATTTGAGAAATAGAAGGTGAAATGAGGGAAACCAGTTAAGCCTGACTGAGATTCTGCCAGTTTTTCAATCATGGTCTTTGAGGAGCAGTGACTGGTTTCAAGATGGTCCAGTAACCAAGAAATAGCACAAACAGCAGAGACAGAAATCCAGAAACTTCAGTGATTGATTAGAGATTAAAATGAACCAATTAAAACTATACCACTTTAACTGGTCACTTTCTACTTCTAAATATAAAATGCTGCATTGATGATCACATCAACAAACAAGTTTATTTACAGCAGATCACGACAGCTGGTGCTGGAGCAGACAATCTGATCTGGAGTGACTGCAGGGATAAGGCGGTGGATCATGGAGAGCTGTCTCTCTGACTGGGAGAGAACACTGGTGCAGTCTATGTGGCAGTGAGTACAGGGCAGCAGCCTGCCCAAATACTGTCAGTCATTCAGCTCCCCCCCATAATGATAAAGTAACTGGACTCCAGGTTAAGGAGTTCTCTTAATCCTTCCAGCAACATTCCACAATGGCTGGTCTCAGGAGATAGGGGAGGGGAGTCAGTCAGAATCAGAGTCAGAATCAGAATCATCATCTTGTGAGGAGGAAGAAGAGGAGGAGGAGCTGGCATTGACCTGGCTCCCATCGTCGTCGTCATCGTCGTCGTCATCATCATCGTCGTTGTCATCGTCATCATCGTCGTCGTCATTCTAAAATTAAAGACAAGATCAAAGCTCAAAGCTATGACTACTTCTGCCCCATATCTTTCCTCTCTAGCTCTCTCATCCCCTTCCTCTAAGATTCTTGCACTCTCACACTCCTGTTCCCACCTTCTCCGAGTCTCTCTGCTTTTCTCCCACCTTTGTTCTGCCACACACCTCCCTCTCCCCTGACGCTTTATCCAGGTTGACCTCTTTCTCCTCTTCCAGGACTTGCAGTGAATTCCAACTCTCGCATCTGGCTCCTGTGGGATGGTGCTACGTGAGGGAAATCTTGCTTAGGATTTCTCTTCAGTCAGCATTGCTCAGGATACAGTTATTGATCATGAAAAATCCAGGCATTCCTGGATCCATTGACGTCACCTTCTACCATCCTGACAATTGCACTGAAACACCAACACCACTAGGTTCCCTCACATATCATCCTGTCTTGGAAACATTTATTAAGAAATAAAAGGGACATTAAGAAATGTTTCTTAGTGTCACTGGGTCAAAATCCTGGAACTCTCTTCCTAAGGATATTGTGGGTCAACCCACATCACACAGACTGCAGTGGTTCAAGAAGGCAGCTCATTACAACCTTCTCAAGGGGCAATTAGGGATGGGCAGTAGGTTCAACTATCCCGCGACTGGGACATGTATGGATTGAGTGTGGGCAGGAGTGGCATAGTGGAGAGCATGATTCCACTGGTGCCCAGCATGGAACACTAGGCAAGCAACCTCATGCCAGCTGATGGAAGTGGATGAGTAACATGTGGGACACTGCAGTGAGACACGGTGTCAGATCAGCAATTTTGGTCAACTCACCTCTCCATCCTCGCCCTCATCAGTGTTTGCTTCGCTATCAGATGAGGCTGAGGAACCATCACCATCATCATCAGAATCAGATGAATCGCTCCCCTCGGGATCTTCCTCATCATCATCCTCATCTTCACCATCCTCTTCAGATGATTCCTAAAGAGAGTAAGACAATAGGTTCAGAGTAGCGAGAGACAGTCCATCCAAAATTAGGCAGGACTGAGGTGAGAGTGCATGTAAAAGCAGGTGACAGAGTGTGAAAAGGTGGTGAGGAGCGTGAAGATGGGCGAGAGAGTGTACAAAGGCAGGGAGAAAATGCACAGAAGTCGGTGAAAGAGAACACAAAAGCACGAGACAGCATAAAGGTGTGTGCAAGTGCAAGTGCATGCATTAGAGGGGAAACATGAACTAGACAGACAAAGAAAGTGTGAAAGAGACACACAGTTAGACAAAATAAGCGTGAGAAAGAAACAGATATAGTGTGAGACACTGCAAGCATGAACATGAGACAGCACAACAGATGGAGAGGGAGGGAGACTGGAAGAGAAAGAAAGCACAGAAAGAGGGTGCATGAGAGAGAGAGAACAAGAGGTTGAGCAGTTTAGGCCTATACTCTCTGAAATTTAGAAGAATTACAGGGGGAATCTAATTGAAGTAGCTAAGATACTAAAGGGGATTGACAAAGTAAAGAGTATGTTTCTTCATGTGGGGCTATCTAGAACGAGCGGTTATTGTTTTAGGATAAGGCGTGGCAGATTTAAAACATAGATGAGGAGAAATGACAGATTTTTAAATAGTAATGGTTTGAAGGCAGGAAAGTGGAGTTGAAGCTGAGATGAGATCAGCTGTGATTGTATTAAATAGCTGAGCAGGCTCAAAGGGCTGAATTGTCAGCTCTCAGGTTTAGAGTGTCAACTTCTCATAAGGTATTAGTCTAGTTAACCTTATCTGAATAGCTTCTAACATCCTTCCTAAAATAAGGAGACCAAATACACATTATGTAGTCTCACCCCTGTCCCATAGAATTTGTAATAAAAGATAACATTATATTTGTTTTCCTGGTTTGCTGTACCTGCATACTAACTTTTATTGATTCATGCACCAGGGCATCTGGACCTCTCTGCATCTCAGAGCTGTGCAATTCTCACCATTTTGATAATGTGACTTTCTTTTATTCTTCCTTGACACAAAATGGACACTTTCCCACATTATTCTCCATTTGCTAAATCTTTCTCCACTCATTTAATCTATCTACATACCTTTCTATACTCCTTATGTTGTTTCCAAACATCTTTGCGTTATTGGCTAATTTAGCTCCTCTACCTTCAGTCTCTTCATCCAAATCATTGATAGAAATTATAAAAACAGTTAAGGCCAGTGCATCAATCCCCATGTTCCACCACTGATTACATCTTGCCAAGCAGAAAATGACTCATTTACATTGATCCTGTTTCCTGTAGCCAGCCAATCTTCTATTTATGTCAAATGCTACCCTTGGATCAACAGCTTTTACTTCACACAATGACCTTTGATGTGGCATCCTATCCAATGCCTTTTGCAAATCTAAGCAAAGTACACACACACAAAAACAGTAGTTCTCAATTATGAGGGCACGAAAGCATAGCAGACAGGCAAGGGATAGGTCAATAAATATTCAGTGGCAAACATTTAAGGGAATATTTCAGAATACATTTCAACAAGAAAGAAAATTCCAAGGGAACAACTCAATATTCGCAGTTAATTAGAAAAGTTAAAGAACAGTATCAAAGTTAAAGAAAAAATACAGATTTGTGTAAAGGTGGGTGACAGATCAGAAGATTGGGCAGAATATGAAAAACAGAGCAAAAATTAATAATGATGAAAAATTTACAGTCCAAGAGAAAGCTGACTAGAAATATAAAAACAGATGCTAAGAGTATCTATAGATATTTTTAAGAAGTTAACAAACTGAATGTTGGTCCTATAGAAACCGAGACTGGTGGATTAATCCTGGAAATTACGTGAACGCAGGTGAACTGAGCAGGTATTTTGCACCAGTATTCGCTACAGAGGATACAAGTAACATCTTAGAAATACCTGTAAGCCAGGAAATGGGAGGGAGAAAAGAACTTAAGAAAATAACGAAGTACCAAGATAGTGGAGCTGTAGGTTAATGGCTGGCCAGGTCATAATGGACATCTTAAAAAGATTAGTGAGATAGTTGACATAAAGGCAAATAGTAAACGATGTAAAGGATGCTAAAAATCTGGAACAAACACAGAAAACGCTAGAGAAACTCAGTAGGTCTAGCTGTACCTGTGGAGTCAGAAACAGAGTTAATGTTTCAGGTGTGACTTCTTCAGATGTTGCTGGATCTGCCGAGTTCCTTCAGCATGCTGTGTTTGTTTCACAGAGCTGCTCTGTTGATTTTCATTTTTCAAAATTCCCTAGATTTGGGAAGGTTTCACTAAATTGGGGGTGAAAACACACAAAACAGGAAACTACAGGCCAGTTAGCTTAGTTGGTGGTAGGGAAAATGTTAAATACTATTATTTAATTATACTAATTAATACCATTAAAGAAGTTATAATGGGACAGTTAGAAAATTTCAAGGTATTGGAGCAAAGTCACTATGGTTTTGTGAAAAAGAAATCATGTTTAGCTAATTTATTGGAGTTGGATGAGATATGGCAGAAAGAATTAAAAATATTTTCTAAATATTGAGAGGTTGCAGAGCTCGGAGCTGTGAAGGATCTGGGTACCTCAACAGCATGAATCAAAGAAGGTTGGTCTGCAGGTACAGCAAGTAATCGGGAAAGCTCAGAGAATGGTAGGATTTATTGAAAAGGATAAGTGAATGCAACAGTAGGGAGGTTATACTTCAGTTATGCAGGGCATTGGTGAGACTGTTTCTGGAGCACTGTGTACAAAATTGGTCACTGTACTCACAGAAGGATGTTAATGCGTTGGAAGCAGCTCAGAGAAGGATGACTAGACTAATTGCTAGAATGAGCGGTTTGCCTTATGAGGTAAGGCTAGACATGCTAGGTCTGTTTCCTCTGGAGTTTAGAAGAATCAGAAACACACAAGATCTTGAGGGGAAGAGACTGGGTGGATGTGGAAAGGATTGTCCTCTTCTGGGAAAATCTAGAACTAGAGGTCATTGTTTAAAAATAACAGTTACCCATTTAAAACAGAGATGAGGAAACTTTTTTTTCTCTCTGAAGGGTGAGAATCTTTGAATTTCCCTCCTCAAAAAGCAGCGATTGCAGAATTTATAAATATTTTTAAGGCTGTGGTAGATAGATCCTTGATTACCAAGGAGATAAAAGATAAAAGGGATATGCAGGAATAAGTCAAAGTAAAATCAGATCGGCTATGATCTTATCAAACGCCAGACTGGGCTTGGAGGGTCGAGTGGCCTACTCTTGTTCCTTCTTTGTTCCACTGACCAGGACCCAAATCAGAAGACCTCAACCACCTCCTAGGTTCAAGTGCCCCAATAACTTTACCTCTCCCTGACATGTCAGCGTCTGCAGCTCCACCTCCAGCTCAAAATCTGAGCCGAAGCTGATCGAGCTGCAAAAACATGTTTATCTTGTATCCCACTGTCAACCAATCACCCGCCCTGCCATCTTTATTGAAGGAGAAACGGTGGGAATGAGAGTGAGAGACAGAGGGAGTAACAGAGTGGAAGGAAGGCAACTCACCGATGTGAGGTTCGATGTCAGTCTTGCTTTGGCTGCAGGGCCCCCTGGCTTTCCCTGGCCTTTTCGCTTCTGGAAACACAAGAAATTAACGTGTTGTTTCATAGGAATGCCACCTCTGGGTGGTGCAAGGAGTATGCAGGCACAGAACTCCACCCAGCGGTGTGATGTCGCTGCCTCCTGACTGGAAGGACAGTCAATTAAGCCAGCCTTCAGGGTTCAGTGATGTGGCAACTGCTGAGTGCCAGTTGCTGCCAGTCCCCACATAGCACACAAGCCTCTCCAACATATCAAAGTGGTGACCCATAGAGTGCACAGCGTGGCTTTATAGATCCACAGGAAGCTCTGAAATGGCCTCAGCTTTACAAGGGACCAGAGGTGGCCGTTCAGCCCCTCAAGCATATTACACTGGTCCAGAAACTGGCCATTCAGGACCATAAACACTTTCACATTAAAAATCTTATACATACTGTTACAAAATGCTAGTTAATTTGAATAATGCAGCATAGCTTTCCAATCTAGGCCAGTTCACAGAACAGATTTCAGAAAAGTGCACTGCCAGTTCCACAACTGGATTCAGAGTAGAAATTCACCAAGGCTCCTTTGACTGCACCTTCAAAATTAATGACCACTTCCATCTCGAAGGACAAGGGCAGCAGATACATGGGAACACTATCCCCTGAAAGTTCCCCTCCAAGCTCCTTACCATCCTGACTTAGAAATATATTGGCATTCCTTCAGTGTTGCTAGGTCAAAATCCTGGAATCCTCTCCCTGAGGGCATTGAGAGACAACTTTCAACACATGGACTACAGAGGTTCAAGAAAGCAGCTCACCACCACCTTCTCGGGCAGCCACGGCTGGGCAATAAATGTTGATCTAGCCAGCGATGCCCACATCTCATCAGTGAATGATTTTAAAAAAAGGGCTTCTTCTGTGAGATACTTACTGCTGTCGTATATTCCTCATACACATTCCGTTCTTCAGGCGATAGAGACTGAAACATATGAAAAGGGGACAAATAACAAATTATTCCTTTACAATAATCAATACAGGCTGTCCAAAAGATGGTCACTGTATAACACTGGGGTACAGTACTGTGGGGACAGGTCTGTCATTGTATAACACTGGGGTACAGTACGGGTGGGCACAGATCTGTGAACATAGTGAGGTCACTCACTTTAAGCCAGGCCTCCAGCTCCACTCTGTATTCCTGCTGTTGCTCCTCTACGAGTTTCTTGTAGCCATCCTTCTGGGCCTGGCTCTGCTTCTGCCACCTCTTCCCAATCTCCACCATTCTTTCTTTCAACCCAAAGTGGTTTAGCTCCCCGCTAGTCAGCAACTCCTGGGAGAACATCTGGTAGCCACTCCTGGAGATGACAGGAGTGGTAAGGTCAAGGTTGGGCAAGGCAGGGCAAGGACAGGGAGTATACAGGGTGCTGGGCGAGGGACAGGGTGTATTACAGGGTGCTGGGTGAGAGACAGGCTATATACAGGGTGCTGGGTGAAAACAGGGTGCTGGGTGTGGGACAGGGTATATACAGTGTGCTGGACGTATACAGGGTGCTGGGTGTGGGACAGGGAGTATACAGGGTGCTGGGTGAGAGACAGGGAGTATGCAGGGTGCTGGGTGAGAGACAGGGTGCTGGGTGAGAGACAGGTTGTATTACAGGATGCTGGGTGAGGGAGAGGTTGTATTAAGGGGTGCTGGGTGAGGGGCAGTTTGTACTACAGGGTGGTGGGGCAGGTACAGGGTGTAACAGGGTGGTGGGGGCGACGGGGAGTATACAGGATGCTGGGTATGGACGGGAGTATACAGGGTGCTCGGTGGGGCACAGTGAGCAGATCAGTGATCAGTCGGTGTGTGGTCAGGGGGATGGGGATGTGTGATTTGTGATTTGGAGTTGGGGAGGAGTGGACAGGAAGCGGGTAGGAGACAGGAAGCAGGTAGAGGACAGGGAGCGGGAACTGGACAGTGGTAGCTGGGGAAGCAATGGGCACTTACATTGGTGGTTTCTTTGGCTCGCCAACAAACTTCAGCTTCTTGGAGTTCTGTGCTGAGACCCGGGCCCATCGACTCTCTGATAGCTCCCTCTACAACAAAATAGGAGCTGCTGTTACAACAAAACCCACTGCCACTCAGCTGCTGCCTGCTGGGGTTATGGGCACTGGGCAGCTATGGCCTCAGTTTAACATCTCAACCTTAGCGGGAAGCACTGCGGTGAATTATTTCCTACCTGAAAAGTACATACCCCAACATTTTTTTTCCCTTGGTTGTAGGTGATTTGTCACAGTAGGCCACGGTCATATCTTTACTGTCTGAGGGAGCGCCGCACTGTCGGAGGGTCAGTGCTGAGGGAGCGCCG